CAAGGCCAGGCTGGATGAGGCTTGGAGCAACCTGGTCTAGTGGAAGGTGTCCCTGCCCATGGCAGGGGGGTTGGAACTAGATGGTCCTTAAGCTCCCTTCCAACCCAAACCATTCTGTGATTCTAGGAATGTTCGGCTGTTCGTCGTAATTTTTGCCTCGGTGTTGATTTTTGGCAGGTCACCTTCAAAAAACCCAAGTTCTTACCTAAACGTGTTTCCTTGTTTGCTGCTTAGGTCTGCTGTGTTTTATTTGAGGCGTTCCCAACCTAAGCTGCGTGTGTCTTGTTTTTCAGGAGTCTGTCCTGAATTTTCGCTTAGACCCGCTCGGTGTCGTGGAGGGTTTCACAGCGGAAGTGGGAGCAAGCGGAGTCTTTTGTCCCACGCACATGACTCTGCCAGTTGAGGTGTCGTTCTACAGTGTTTCGGATGATAATGCACCCTCTCCTTACATGGTAAGTGTGTGCCTGGATTTATTTTAAACAGATTCTGATAGGTGGAGGTGAAGAACGAGCTCTGTGAGTAGAGGGTTCAGGAAGTGGGGATTTGCGGGGACCTGGGTTATTTTCAGCAGCCTCTGATGGGGTTCTGTCCCTTTTTTCCTTGCCCTAACTGGTGCTTTCCTTCCCATTGCTCTGCCCCACCGTCCAGCTGCTCTCATCTTGGGATATTGAATGTATTTGTCTCCCTCTGCACTGGAGTGAGCAATCCCCACCATCTCTTTTTACCTATCTGACTTAAAATAGGCAATGAGGCAATAGCTGGACATAAGGGGATACGTTCTGTTGTCCCAACAAGCAGCTGCTCTGGCAACTACCTGCCAGCAAGTGCCTCAGGTGCAGGCCAAGGTACAGTCGCTGATGGACACCTTAGACGCTGAAGTTACTCAGCCGTTACTTTCCGAGCAAATGCTGTCTGAGCCAGCGTGACACCGGCACTCTCACAAGCTGCATGGCTTGCTGGTGTTCACACCGACACGGTATTGGTTCTCCGTATCCCTCTGCTAATTCTGTTCCGCATTTCTACAGTGATAGTGTGGTTTTTGGATGTGAAGAGGGCTTCCTTGTGAAAAGCAAAAGAGATCTTGTAAGCTTAGCATCGAATCAGACCGCTGAATGCCTCTTAAAGAACCTCAGTGTTACCTGGGGAACGAACACAATTTTTAGAGGTTTTCATATGCGTATGTCTGCCTAAAATATGGTAAATAGTCTGTTTAAAGATGTAAGTAAAGCATTGAACATGTGATTATGCCAATATTTAGTTTTTAAATTCACAGCACCTCTGTTTTTAAAAGTATTCAGAAAGTGAAATGGCTTTGCAAGTTTGAGTAATAAGTTGAGTTTAAACTGGTGTATGTCGTCTCTTAACTGCTGCAAAGTGGTATCTGTTGGTTTGCTTTCATCCTTCTACATTATTTCACGTGACTTTCCAGGGGGCGAAGGGATTCTGATATTCTTCAAATGGTTAAAGTGGCATTGCTGGTTTTCCTAGCTGGGTTTCATTGTTTCAGGCTTTTCCACATGCTCTAAACATGCTATTATGTCCGAATCTCCCAGGATTAATACAACATTTGTATAGTGCCTGCATCATCAGAAACATTGTTTCTGGTTTTATAGCTAGTTTCTCTGCTCTGGGGTCTTTTTGTCCTTGTGTTGGGTTTATTTTTTTAAGGCCGGTGCAGTGGGGTACAACAGTTGTGCACTGCAGGTTAATCCAACGTGTGCTCTGGGACAGCACCCTGGGGGCGGCCTCAGCGGTGTTACTGCGCCGTGTGGGACGCTGGGATGCTCTGCAGATCGCAGCTGGTACCAAAGCAGATGTCACTGTCACTAAAGTTTGGACTAGAACGGGAGGTGAAGTGCATCTGCTGCCTTTGAAAAGCAGAAACTAGTTCTGTGAGATCTGGAGTGTTACTAGTGCGGTTGTAGGTGATACAGAAATGGAAAGGAGGAGAGAGATCTCCCATCGGAACTCACAAGCCATTTTGGAAAGAAAGCTGTATCTTCCACGGCTCCCTGACTGCTGGTTTGAAGATGTGGGAATTTGGGTCTTGAAACAAGAGGAGAACGCACCCCTTAACGGCAGCTTTAAATGACCTGCCAGAGTGTCTGTAAGGCCCCTACTGTCGATTTGTAACTACATCCCCAATGCATTGCCTTCTCTAGTTTTTACACATTGCTGATCATTTTTTGAATAAATACAGTTATGTGAACAGAACATTTTGATTTGTTTATGTGAACTAAATGTGTATCTTTTTTTTTTCCTAGGGTGTAATTACTTTAGAGTCCCTTGGTAAAAGGGGTTATCGGGTACCGCCTTCAGGAACAATACAAGTGGTACGTACTCAGCAGATACGGGTGCCTTGAAACCACTAATGTCAAAAAAGTCATGCAGAGGAGATGAGGTTGTTGGAGATGAGCATGAAGGTAGCAGTGGAAATGTGCATCTCTCGGTACTGTAGTTATTCAAATTAGAAAGCTGTGTGAAATTTGGGGGACAAAAAAGCCTCCCAACCTTTGACCCCATCTGTGCTGTGAAGAGACTTAAAATCAGTTACCGAACTTTCAGAACAGCTGGGGACATCATGGCTTTGAAGAAGCACTGGAGAAGTAATGAGGCCACAGTCCAAATTCTGAAATCCTTCTAGAAGGATTAAATACTTGTTAAAATGTTACAAAATTTAGATATAATCACCTGGTTTTTTGTAATAAAATCAGAAAGTCATTTCTTAGAACTAACAATTTGCCTCTTTCTTTTAAGAACCAGGCCCAGGGAAACACATTGTTAATTCCAGGTTTAGAAGTGACGCCCACCACTATGTTTCCTGGGAGCATATTGTGTCTAGAAAAAGTGGACGGGAAAAATAAACAAGAATTGGGGGCGCAGATTAGCAAAGTAATGGTAATTGTATACTAGTGTTTCATTCAGATTAGGTTGTATTTAGTGTTCTGTTTAAAACTGGGAATTGTTAGTAGCTGAAGTGTTGACAAACAGAAAAACCACACAATGTTCCTCCATAAACGTTGCTGTAGGGCACTGGAATAAAGTGCTTAAGGATAGTGACTGTTTTGGGAGGTGGAATTTGGTTTTGTTGGTGTGGGTGGGTTTTTTAAATTTGTCATACCTACAGAGTATTGTATTGAACCGTTTGTCCTTTCAGACCTTATTTAACCCTAACAAAACTGTGGTGAAGATGTTTGTGGTAATCTATGACTTGAGAGAAATGCCAGCTAATCATCAAACATTCCTACGGCAAAGAACGTTTTCTGTTCCTGTGAGACGAGAAATCAAGAGAAGTGTCAATAAAGAAAATAGTCAACAGACTGAAGAAAGGCTACTACGCTACCTCATACATCTGAGGTAAGATCCTCAGAGTTTAAAAAGACACATAGAAAAGAAAAAACCCCCACAAACCCCAACACACAAACTTTAAGTACCTTGCAGACTTTCTCTCATGACTTCTTTCCCATCCAGCCTTTCTGTTCTCAGACTTGTTTTAAAAAAAGAATGCTTTTAACTTGGTCTTCAAGCTATACAGTACAGGAAGAAGCTTTTGTATAGCCTTGTAAAGCTTTAATTTGTAGCTTAGTTCTAGCTGGATCAGTGTACTTTTTTTGAGGTTACAGGAAATAGTGAGAGTGGATGTTAAAAGAGCAAAAGCTGAAACTAAGGATCAGTGTAGAGAAGGTGCCCAGTGTCCCACGCACACGCCTCTTCAGCAGAATAGCTTGAGGTGTGAAAAGCCTTCTGAGTTACTCCTAAAAAGAGTGCGCAGTGGTAAAACTGTAAATACCCGTTTTATGATACAATACTGCTATTTCTAATACTGCCTTTTGCTTTATAAAATATTCACACCACCTTCCTTAAATGATTTACAAAGCACTGCCTGAAACCAGATACTGTGCTGCTGCTCTGAGGGTATTCTGGAGACTGCAGTTTGAAGCAAAGGGGAACCATGGATATACTCTGTCCTCCTGCAGTTTGCAGGCTTCTGCCTGCGCTGTTGTAGGAAACAAACCACATACGTGCAGACACCCCGTGCTTTCATTGCAACCCCACGGCGGCTGACAGGCTGAAGCGAGCAAGCAGGAGAAAATCAAATATCCTACGCTTCCCTCTTTACCTTGTTGTAGCATTACTTCTGGTACATATTACTCCCCCTATTTAGTGGCATCGATTTCTGCCCAGCAGACTTTTGAAACACAACTTTGTCTAGGGCGGTGATTCCGGGCCAAGCTTTCCTCTTAAATGAAAGCTGGCAGTCATCAGATGTGTGTTGGTTTACTGGAGTGTGAAAATAGCATCACGATGAGGCCGTTGAACTGTCTTTTCATTCTGAATTTTACCCTGGGTTGAAATCCGTCTTTTCAGGCCACACTAACTTGCCATGTCTAACTTCACCGCCTTCTAAAAATTTTCTTCTGGGGTAAATTCTGAAGAAGAGTGTGTGGCCCAAATAAAAGGCTCTATTCTCTTGTAATGCTGATCTGACTGCTGCAGAGGAATCGGGGACAGGCGTTGGCTGCAGAGGTGGGCGGAAATCTGTGTCTGGTGTACAGGCATGAAGAATAGTAGACTTGTGTCCCCTTTCAGTTTCTGCTTTAACTCAGTTGGTAATTTTGCTGTAGACAGACCCCAATAGTTAACTTCTATTTGAAGGTAAATCTGCTTTTTTCTCTGTCATCTTATATAGGTAGAAGCCCTCTTGCATGAGCTTCTTATTTTTGATACCTGCTGAGAGACACAAATGTAGCAGTTCTGATGCTCTTAATTTTGAAATACCTGTACAGGTTAGCTCAGCTTTCAGACCTCTGGTAGGGATCAACTCGTGGATTTATAATGTATAACTGGAAATGCATCCATTTCTGGCTGGAAAAACAAACTGATAATTACGACGCTTAGCTGCTTACTTTGGAAAGTGAATACCTGCAGAGTATGCCAGGAGTTCTTTTGCTTCAGAGATGAACCCAGACAGTGGGTCCTTTCTCATCATGGAACAACTGCAAAACTCCTTGAAATATTACAGTAGTTACTGTTGATCTGTCTTGTGGTTTGCTAAACAGAGTACTTCTGATTTTATAGAAGACTCAGTTGTCGACCGAGTAGCCTTCTTTACTAAAGATGGGTTTTCATTAGGAGAGCTTAAGAAGTCTTAGCAGTATATTAATTCTTATGGTTGGTTTTAAAACTTCTTTTTTAAAAGCAGCAATGTTTCCTCAAACCCTTTATATTGAAAATGTAAACTTAAGACTCTATTTTCTCCTGTTACTCAGGTTAGCTTAGAACAGCGTTTTAGTTGCAGTTGTTGAAAACAAGCATCTTACGTGTTGAAATTTTGCTCAAAACAAACAAATGAAGTCACCACCAGTAAGCTGCATTGTGGTCGCATCTGCCTGCAAGGCCTTAATCGCAGTTGTCAGCACTCGCATTATGAGAGCTTCTTTTCAAGTGGTAATTCAGCAAAAATGCTTGCATAGGTCTGGAACTTAACGTTGGCAGCCAGATTTCCTACAGCACGCCTCTAAAGTGTCAGATCGATTGAGCGTGCTCTGCTCAGGCCTCGCTTCTGCCCAGCGTCGCGGGGAGGGCGGCCATCCGTTGGCTTGCAGGTCCCGTTCTGGCACCCCTATAAAAGGCAGGTAAACGGTTAACCTGCCCGCAGCGCAGCGTTTTTCAGGTTTTTTAGAGCTGGGTCAGTAGCTTTAGTACTGACATACTGCTCCTTCTGATTGCATTAGAGCATGATTGTTGCTGCTTAACAGCTGAACAGGGGCTGTTACCCACGGCTCGGCGCAGGGTAAGCTTGAAAGTGGTTGTTAGAAGCAGCGATGCCTGAAGGTGTTACGGAACTTTGTTAAAAAATAGTCTGCTAATGTGGCACACCAGACAGGTATTGGTGGAAACTGAAGATACCTGCTGTTACTGACCTACTGGTAGCCTTTGGATCTTTCTGATCTCTCAGCATTTTTCCCAATATGGAAATCTGTATCTTTGTCCTCGTGACTTTACTTACAGATTTTATAGATGGCGTTGTATTATATTTTCCACTTGCAAAACATGCCTTGCTACATATGCTTCTGTGATCATCCTGCTCTGTCCTGTTTCTGTGGCTTATTCTGTTCTTTGTGAATGTTGATGGCCTATAAAATACATATATAGGGGGGTTGTGCTTGTAGTTGTCACTTCTTCGGTAATGTTTCTCTTTCCCCTGCTAGACTTTCTAGCTCATCTGTTTAAGCCTTCCTGCATTTGTCTACTGATAATGCCTTGTGCCTCGTTCAGTCAGGAAAGAGTTAACTCTCTTTACGCGGCTGCTAGGAAGCTGTTCCTGGATGCAGAGAGCAGCACTGATCAGGTCTCAGCTGGTGCTGGGGAATGCCTGCACTGAATTCAAGGTCTTTCTCCACTTGTGACACTGCAGCTGCGTTCCCAGCTCTCACTGTCTCGCTACAGGCAGTGCAGGGACACACAGTTCAGGCACCTGACCCCAACTGACCAAGGGAGTATTTCATTCCATAGTACAGTATGCTCAGGGCAGAGGAGAGGAGGGGTTCCAGGAGACATTACTCTCTCCCTTACTCTCTCTCGTTCACTCCCGTACACTTGCTGACACTCACCCTGACTCCTGCGTTAGCTGCTCTGCTAACTGCTGTGCGGGGTGTGTTGGTGGTTTTGCTCAGTTTCCCCAGCCGTGCTATCGCTGAGAGGGTTCGCTGGGATTCTGCTGTGGCAGCACTCGGGCTGCAGCGCTCAGGTTCTCTGGGTCTGACTCTC